TGACCAGTTCGTTACATCCTCATTATTTGGAAAAGGCATAAATATGGGAATCTAGGAAGAAGTATTGAGAAAGGAAGCATCAACGATCCTTTGGGATAGGAAGAAGTTGAAGAAACTGTGTTTGTTCAGAGTATGCCAGGCGTGATCGTGCATTCGTGCATACTTGCACTAGTATGAATCCTTACCATGATACTCCACAATGAGACATGCATTCTTGTAAAATTCGAAGTGAGGCGAAAATTGTCCAGGTTATCAGATCTCAAAAGCCTGTGAAATCACCCCACACTTGTGAAAGTCCATCCTCTGCCCCCACTCACCCCCAGTCTTCACTGTTCCTGGACCTATTTATTCCTTTTTTTTTTTTTTTTTTTTGATTTTTTGAGACATGGTTTTTCTGTATTGCCCTAGCTATCCTGAAACTCACTCTGTAGATCAGGCTACCACAACCTCACCGAGATTCACCTGCCTCTGCCTTCCAAAAGAATGCTGGGATTAAAGGCATGTGCCACCACCTCCTGGGCACCTGGATCCATTTCTAAAGGGACCTACTCCTCACAGCACTTACAGTCTGTGCTTTTATATAAAATGCATTACCCTAATCTTTTCACCCATCAAGGTATGAATAAAATACAGTTCCCACTACACAAATGGAAAAGCATTCTTAGCTGTGATTAAAATGTTGTTACTCAAAAGCATGCCTTTTCTACCGAAGCATTCAGTATCAACTGTTGAGCTAATTAATGTCAAGCGGTGTTCAGACGTCACTGCTGACTCTAGGCAATGCTGCAGTTATGTATGTCCAGCTAAGCATTTTAGAAATCTGCCAGGTTGAGAAGTGGTACTTAATTTTTGAAAATGGCATTTCAAGAGGCACACACCTTTAACCTCAGAACTCAATAGGCAGATCTCTGTGAGCCCAAGGCCTGCCTGATCTACATAAAACTCCAGGAATAGAGACACTGAATTTAAAAGGGGGGTGGGGGGAGGGAATGGCATGTCACTTGAAATACTGAAGTGGAATTTATAAATTCTAGTGAGTGAAATTTTTTCACTCACAGAATAATCCTTTTTTGTTTGTTTGGCCCTCCTGAAATTCACTTTGTAGACCAGGCTGGCCTTTGCCCACTGAGTGCTCGGATCAAAGGCGTGTGCCACCACTGCCTAGTTTATTTTAACTAGACTCAGAAGCTCCCAGCAAGATAGCCTCCATCTCCTGACAATCTGTTCCTAGTGTTTTTCATTGGCTTTCTTCATTCTCTTGGCTAGAAGCTTAGCACATTCTGCAGCTTCCTCGTTTTCTTTAGTGTGCTATTTATTTCTTCGGAGCAATATATCAACATCTCCACTTGCCTTGCAGACTAGTGGAGGAACAAGTTGCTGAGTCTGGGGTTCTTTGGTCCTGGGCTTTCCTTCTTCAAGAGCTTTCTGACAACAGTGGACATCATCTTTTGAGAAATTAAAAAGCTTTCAGATTCTGCTAGCTCTTGGGTTCCAGTAGCCAAGACAGTCAGTCCTTTTTTTCTTACACTAACCAAGTCTAAAACACTCAGGTTGCTATCCACAAACAGACATGCTCTTCCGCTCCCCAGTTCCCCTTGGTGTATAACAGGAATGCTCCTTACTCTACAGGAGGTGCAGTCTGCTCTGGGTCAAGATGCCTTGCTTCACTGGAAAACCTTGTTTGTTGTTCCCACCACTGATTCTGACATCAGCCTCCACTCTTCACCAGAGCACCAGCAGCTACTTCTGTAGCAGGGTGCTTCTTCTCCTAGCAAGTATGAAGCTTGTGTTTACCATCCTTGTGGATGAGTTTCTGATAGCCTATGGCTGGAGAGGAGGAGATGCTCATGCACTATTTTTTTTTTTTTTTTTTTTTTTTTGGAGGGGTGGGAATTGAGACAGGGTTTCTCTGTATCTTTGGAAGCTGTCCTGGAACTAGCTCTTGTAGACCAGGCTGGCTTAGAACTCACAGAGATCCACCTGCCTCTGCCTCCTGAGTGCTGGGATTAAAGGCAAGTGCCACCACTGCCCAGCCTGATGAACTACTTTTGTTTAGAAAACCTTTAAGGGTTCAAACTACAGAATGTAGAGCCCAGCAAATATCTGATAGAATATGAAAGCAATGTTTGATGCATCCTGTACAGCTTAAAGAACTTTCATTAAAAGTGGTTCAACCAAATCTAATTTTATCCTTATTTTCATAAAGCAAAGGTCTGAAACAAATTTCAGCTTAGTCTTATACCTGCTGTAGTTACATTTACCAAGGGTGCCCTCTGGTGGACCACAGGAAGCACATACCCAGCTGAAGATGCTTTTGAACCTCTCTCTACTGAGCTGCCCTGAAGCAGACACTAAAAAAGCGTGGCCAGCAGCTTGGGAGAAACTGGCTAGGAAAAATTTGCTTGAGTGGTAATTAGTTCCCATCCCCTTAAAAGGTAAACAACCACCAAGCAATGGTGGCACTCGCCTTTAATCCCATCACTGGGAAGGCAGAGGTGAGCAGATCTCTGTGAATCTGAAGCCTGCCTGATCTACAGAGTGAGCAGGACAGCCAGGGCAATACAGAAAAACCTTGTCCCAAATAAACAAATAGGGAATGGGGATAAAAAAAGGCAAACAACCTGGGAACTCCGAGACAGGCAGGAAATCAGTTACCTATGGTGCGGCAGGCTAAAATTAAAAGTTGTCATCTATGACCCTGCCTCAAAAAAAAAAAAAAAAAGCTAATCTTGATTGTAAACTTTATATGATTTATAATCACCATGGAAACAGACCTCTGGAAGTTCTACCAGCAAGTTTCTAGACTGGGTTGATATGGAAGAACCACACTAACTGTGGGTGCAGCATTTCCCTGCCTTGAGTTTGGGCTGAATACAAAGGAGAACATGAGCCAAGCAGCAGTACTCATCTGTTCCTGGCTATGGACACAATGTGACCAGCCACCTCAAGCTTCTGCCACCAGGATGGACTGTACCCTGGACAGATGAGCAGCACTAACTAGACTCAACTGGTTACTTAAAATAAAAAAAATAAAAGTGCTTGGCACATCTTTAATTCCAGCACTCAGAATAGGCAAGTGCATCTGAGTTTGAGACCAACTTGTCAACAGTTCCAAAATATCCAGGGCTACACACACACACACACACACACACACACACACACACACACACACACGTGGGGTAAAAAGGCCATTTTGGCCGACACCAGAGCTAACTCTGCCCCTCCCTGAGGACTCTGACTCTGAACCCAGAGCCAGCCAAACACTTTATCCCTCAACCCAGAACTGAAGAAAAACACCCTGACTTTGAAAACCAGTACCAGTGAACCAGTGAACTGCAACCAGAACCAGTGAAAGAAACAGTTTGGTCCTGAAATCAGAGCCATATCTGCCCCTGACCCAGTAAATTAACCAATCCCTGGGCAGAAAAACCTCTAAGAAGCCCTATATAAGTTCCTCTGCTTGTTCAGTTAAGGGCTGTCCTTTCCCACCCTGGCAGAGGCAGCCACTTTCCTGGACTCCTCCTTTCCAAATCAGTCTTTCTCAAGGGTCTTGGGTGAAGATCTTCATTTGCCAAAGCAGAATTTCTAGAACATCAGAAACTTGCTGGGATGTTCCTTTAGGGAGCTGAGCAAGAAAAAAACTTTTCACTGAAGATTGCTACATTTCTCTTAGACAGGGTTTCTCTGTGTAGCTTTTTGTGTGTGTGTGGGGGGGGGGGAGTTGGGGGATAGACTGTTAGCACACACTCTGTAAACCAGGCTGGCCTCAAACTCAGAGATTCACCTGTTTCTGCCTTCCAAAAGAGTACTGGGATTAAAGGCATGCACCACCATGGCCTGGCTAGATTACCACATTTCCGCAGGGGCTTCCCCTTTAACAGACTGTAGTCAAAGAAGGGCCAAAGAAGCACTTAAGTGTTTAGCTCTGTTAGGGGATCAGAGCAGGTCTCAGCTGTGAGGAGGGCCCTCTCTAGGAGAGGGGTAGGATTGCTATATCCTGAAGGGAGACCAACCCCCACTGTACCCCAGCTTCAAGTAGCCTGGCTTCCAGTTAAGTCAGGACACCTCTCTCTCTCCAGGGCTGAGCTATCCTATTGCAGCTCCAGCCTCCAGAGTTGTCCTAGGTAGCCTGGCTCCAGGGAAAAGCCAGGGCACCTTTCTCTTCAAGGCATCCTACTGGGGCTCTACCCCTCCAGAGCTGTCCTCTTAAGTAGCCCAACTTCCTGATAAGTCAGGACACCTTTTAGCTCCAGAGCTGTAACACACCTGCTTACATTTTAGTACCAAAAGCCTGGCACATTCACATTTACTTACAAAAATAGAAATGAAGTTGGAAGGGGGGCCGGTTGGAGGAGCCAGGAGTTGGAGGCTAGAAATGATCAAAATACATTATATATATTTCTGAAATGCCCAAAGAATTTGTTTTGGTTTTTTGAGACAGTCTCTGTATACGCTTGGTTTTGTAGACCAGGCTGGCCTTGAACTCAAAAGTGCTGGGATGAAAGGCATGCTGCCACCATACCATACATACCCTGCATTCAAACCAGCCATTGCTCAAAGATGTCCTTGCCTAGTGGTATACACTAGGCCCTAGGCTCTATCCCTCACTCTGGCAAAACTAACTAAATAAACAAACAAATAAATATTTAGGCCAGTTTATGGCTCAATGGGTAAGGAGGGTACTTGCTGCCTAGCCTGATGACCTCAGTTTGATCTCTGGAACCCACATGGTAGGACAGAATGGACCCTGACTTACACATGCATACACTTACACCCATACACAAAAATAATATATACAAAATAAATAGCAAAAAATATGTTAATTGAAAAAATGTAAATTAGGGCACCATTTCTGATTGTGTAGGGAGATAATTCTCAGTGTGTAGCCCAAGTTGTCCTGCCTCTGCCTCCATGTGGAGTCACATGCCTGTACTACCATGCTGGATCAGGATACCCGTGTTTAAACAGAAAACCAAAGCATAGGAACTGGCACTCTATACTGAGACTTGTAGCTTGTTTCTTTTAACTTTAAATTTTTCAAAAGTTAATATATCACCGTATCAGTTACACAAGGAAATGACTTGGCTTTTTACAACTATTATTGTTTTATTTTTGTTTGTTTTGGTCTGAGCAGTCAAAAGCACTGTGGGCCCAGAACACTTATTCTCTCAGTTATTGACAATGGCTCAGCTTCTTTCTTACAAACCGCCCTCTGGAAGGACAGACACTCCAGAGAACACTGTCAATCTCAGGGAACACCTCAGGCACTTCTTAAGGCCTCAAAGCCAGTTTCTGCTGGTGGACATGCTGAAAGACCTAAGATGCTAGAGAAACAGGAACAGCTCACGCGCAAGGGGAGTCCAGGAAGAGGGTAGAGATCCCTTTGAACCAGTCACCAATGGGAATCAGATTCCAACAAAGGCTGCTGGCTCATTTTATTCTTCTGTCCCCCTCACTGTAGGCCTAACTCTACCACCTCTTCTCCAGCCACATACTTGTGCATTAAAGGAGATGGGGTAGAAGTCCAAACAGACCATTCCCATTGGCCCTGAATGTCTCTTTTTCTGTTTTGTTTTTCTTTTTCTGGGGTGGGAAAGGGGCTGAAAATTGAACCTGGGGCCTTGCACACATGAGCAAAGTTATCCCTCCCTGAGCTATATCCCCAGCCCACCAGGTTTTCTACTGAACAGTTCCATGGGGGTACTGTATGGTATGACTGGAAGACATGGATTCTCCAAGTTACTCCAAGATACATCATCAGACTGAGACAGCATGCTCTGAAAGGGACTCGAGCATCCAAACACCATTCACTTCCATCCTGGCTTTGTCTCAGAACAGGAGAGAATAGGCTGGGCTCTGCTGCGCCACTGCAGGTGAATGATGTGTTTGTCAGAGCTTCACATGTGGTGAAGAATCACCCTATGGCAGACTCTTCCCTTGCAGAGGCTGCTCCAGAGAGGCACACAGTCCCATCCTTCTGCACCTGGCCTCACCCTTCCTGTTCCAAAAGCCTCTGGCGTGTTTCTAGCATGATCTCCTCCATTATTTCTGGCTTTAAGATATCCTTGATCTGAAAAAAAAAAAAAAGAAAAAGAAAAGGTATGTGTTCATTCAGAAATAACCATAAGCAGAACATCAAGTCAACAAAACAAGGCAAGGAAGTCTGGCCAATATATACTGTCTGTAGTCTGTACTCCATCAGAAACTGAGCAAGGACACTGTCCCAGCTCCAGATGCAGCTTAGAAAGCAAGCCAGCAAGGTATCCTGGGACAGCTGACAGACACACTGTTCACTCATCAGAAGATGGCTAAGGGGCTGGAGAGGTAGGTCAGTGATTAAGAACACTTGCTGTTCTTTCAGAAAACTCTGGTTCAGTTCTCAGCACCCACATGGCAATTGACAGTAACTCCAGTTCTGGGGGAATCTGATGCTGTCTTCTGACCTCTGCAGGCACCAAGCATGCATATGGTGGAGACTTATACACATGCAGGCAAGACACCCATACACATAAAATATACATATTTTTAATTTAAGTCAAAAAAAGATCTATTGATTGAAAAAGATCAAGAAGATGGATGAATTTTGGAACAGGAAAGATGTAGTGTGGAAAGCTATTGTCATAGAAAAATCCTACCTACACCGCCATCCTACACCAAATCCATCACAATAGGGGAAATATCTCAGGGAACATGGCAGGGACTCATCGGAAGAAAAGTAGAATGCTGAAGAATCACAGGAACAGCTTACACAAGGACCCAAGGGAAGGGAGTACCTGATGTGCAAGGGAGGCCTCGTAGCAGTACAGGATGCTGGTGTCATACAGCATCATTCTCTGAGTTACCAGCAAGACTATGCAGTTCCGAAGCCGGGAAATCACCTCTCGATCACTAAGGGCTACCGGCTACACAGGGACACAAAGGGAAAGGGAAAAGAAATACAAACAGGATCCAAATAAGCAAACAGTCCCAATAGCCACAAAAGAAAGAAATCACACTCATTTCCACCATGGCACTCCATGACACCCTGTTGGAATAATCTTTATGTACACTGAGTGAAGATGTGTCTCTGTCCTTCCTTTTGTGCCTAAGGCACGTTCTGATTGGATTATGAATGGCCAATTGCTAAGCTGGAGAGGGTAGGTGGCGGGACTTCTGGGGAGAGATAGAAACTTGGTAAAGAATGTGAGTGACAAGAAATTTGCCACCTAAACTAGGAAGAAATTGGACATGTGCTACATGGCAAAATGTAGATTAATATAAACAGGTTAAGTTATAAGAGCAGTTGGGAACAAGCCTAAGCTAAGGCCAAGCTTCCATAATTAATAAAGTCTCAGTGTTGTTATTCAGACGCTGGTAGTCCAAAGAAAGACCATTTATATCACCCAACAAACAAGCTGTAATTTATGTTCTTAATGTGTATAAACATACAAGTTCATGTGTGCAAATGCTCATGAGTGCACATACATGGGAAGGTCAGAAGACAACCTTCCATGACATTCTAGGAATGCCATCCATCTCCTTTGAGACAGAGAGAGAGCTGACCAATAAGGCAAGGATGGTTGGCAGGCAAGCTCCAGGGATCCTCTTGTCTCTACCCCCAAACACTAAGATTACAAGTGCACCAACATATCTGGCATTTTTACATGGCTTCTGGGGTTTGAATTCATGCTTACAAGGTAAGTACTTTGCCACCTGAGCCAACAACACCCCTACCCCCCAATCTTCTGTTGTTTCTTCAATGGCTTTTTGGCTATTACCCTGCAACTTTGTCACTGTCACCAACAAAGCTCAAGGTGGCCACTGAATCATCTCTTAAGGGAAGAGAAGACAATCAGGTGCTAACGAATACACTCATTCAAAGCTCAGCAGGTCCCTAAGTCTGCACTGAGTGAACCACAAGTAGCACCTAGGCTGCGGCAGCTCACAGATACAGGGGCCCCTCAAGACACCACCACTGCAGTGCTGCAGCATCTTCTGAGTATTCTTGTGATGCTCTCTCTACAAAGATAGAATCACCCAACACTGCAGTCCTCAGGACGCATCCTAGATTTTATGTGGCACAACAGGGCTTGGCAGATAAAAGCACTTGCTTATTTGACCCCCAAAACCCACATAAAAGCTGGACAAAGCACAAAACTATGTAACCCCATATACCCATCAGGGAATCTTCAGAAGCTCATGGGTCAGCTAGCAGAGACAGTTTCAAACAAGGTAGAAAAAGGCAAGGATCAACAGAAGCTTGTCCTCTGGCCATTTCATGTGTTGTGATACATAATACCCCACTCAAACACACACGAACACACACACACACACACACACACACACACACACACACACACACACACAGATTCCACCTGCCACAAATACAACCAATAGCTGCATGATGTTCACTCACCTCCAGGTTTGCAACGAAGCCTCCAGCATCCTCATCCTTGTGCTCAGGTGTAGGGTAAATCCAGATGAAACCATTGTTGCCCAGAATCACTGAAGCACCACATGGCAAATCATGGAAATGAGTCTTCTGTCGTTTCACCAGGGAAGGAGAAACCTGGACTAAAACTCCCTGACCTAGCTAGAGAGACAGACCATAAGGTAGGCATGGTGGCACACAACTTTAACCCCAGAACTCGGGAGGCAGAGGCAGGTGGATCTCTGTGAATTTCAGACCAGCCTGGTCTACAGAGCAAGTTCCAGGAAAGCCAGGGCTGTTACACAGTAAAACCCTATCTTGGAAAAAACAAACAACAAAACCCCCAACAACGGATCTGAAGTCAGGTAGGGGAGCACAGCATCTGAAAGTCTGAGGCAAGAGGATCACTAATACCAGGCTGGCTGAGCTATCTAGTAAAATCCCATTCCCCCCCACACACACACACACAAAAAAAAAAAAAAAAAAAAAAAAAAAAAAGAGCAAGAAACAACCAGTGAGATGAATGCAAAGTAGGTTACAGAATACACATCCTGACACACCCCATCATTGTCCTTCCTGGGGATAAACTGCTGTCACCCAATATACAGGGCATGCACTTGGCAGAAAACATTTCTGGCCCATGGCTATTTACACACTCCAAAGAAGGTGGCAGTCAGGTTGGTGAGATGGTAGTAAAGGTGCCTGCTACCAAGCCTGACAAGCTGAGTTCAAACCACAGTAGGAGATAACTAACGCCTACAAGATGACTTCCACACACGTGCCATGGTACACACATTTTAATTAAAAGAATGTGGCCATCAATACCCTTACTTCCCTTTGCCTTCTAATCCAGAGCAGGTGTGCTGGCTATTACAGAAACTAGAGCCAACAAGGAGCCTCTCACTGGCCACTTAATCCCATGCCATGACCCTAGTTTGGATCTTAACCTCAAATTCCCATGCCACACGAGATATGGTTCACTGGACTGGCAAACCCATGCCTGGTCTTGACTGGTCAGCACTAGGTCCACATACCAATAAGAAGTGTCTATAGTGACAGGCTGTGGAGGTCAGCACACACAAGTTCAAGAACATGGTGACAGCTGCCACTTCATTAAAGGACACAGCTTTTTTATTCCTCTTGGAAAATGAAAAGCCAATCAAGAACTACACCCTAATGTGTCCTAGGAAGTATGTTGTCCTTAAAATAAATGACCTCAATAATAGAACCTCACAGAAGCAGGCAAATTTCATTTTGAGGCTCAGACGGGAAATTCATCTTTGCTAGCAGTAATATCTACCATGTTGACTAGACTGCAGACAAAGTTCTGCAGACATGCAGTCAACCTCAATAGTAGATTGAGCATCTCCCAAAGGGAACAGAACCTCACAGCTCCAAGCAGAGGCACTCTGCCAGAACAGGGTCTTCAGAAGGAAAAGGATTTAGAACATCAATTACCCTTTGCCCTGACACTGGTAGCAGTAACCCCCTCTCCCACCAGGCTCTTCAAGCCATCAGTCCTAATCAACTAGGTTGTGTTGTTGCTTTTTGTTGTTTTAAGATGGGGGTTATGGAGAGAGGCTATCTCACTATGCAGTCTAGGTTGGTTTCCAATTTGTAGTTCTACTTCAGCTTCCAGAGGGCTGGAATTACAGGCCCTGACACCACACCCAGCTAACTACCAGGTCTCTAGGTTAGCATGGCAGGGAGCTACGGAGATTCAGAACTGGACTTGAAGCCTCCTAAGCCTGACTTACCTTTCCATATTTCAGGCTCCTTGTGTGCAGAGAAACAGCTCCATCTGAGAACACTGCCTGGACCTCTGCCTGCCCAGGTGATGAAGGAACAATAGCAGCCTTGGCAACCCACTCGTATGTCACCTGCCTGCATCCAGCTTGCCCTTCTATCACTGACAGTCACCTTGCCTATCTTCCATGACCCCAGAGGACATCACTATCACCTCACCTCTTCCCTTGGTTGGCAAGAGTATCTTGATATAATCTTTTCTTCTCTCTGGGGTAAATGTTCATATAATTTAGAAAGCTTGAAGACTGGTGAGATGGCTCAGTGGGTAAAGATCCTAGCCATTAAGTCTGACAATCTGAGTTCTACCCCCAGGTCCACACGGTAGGAGAACCAACTCCTTCAAGTTGTCCTCTGACCTCCACATGCAACAGCTGTGATCACACACATAAATAAATGTAATAAAATATATGTAATAAAAAAATTTTAAGATAAAGAAAGTGCCAGGTGGCATGCCTTAAATACCAGCACTTGGGAGGCATATCTCTGTGAGTTCCAGGCCTGCCTGGTAACTAAGCTAATTACAGGACAACTAGGGCTGTTACACAGAGAAACCCTGTCTCTATATCAAAACAAAATGAAACAAAACCCAACAAAAAGAAAAGATAAAAAAGGAAATGTGGGTCTTTGCTAGGAATGATAGTCTATGCCTGAAATCTCAGTACTCAGGAAGCTGAGACAGCAATGCTGTGTTTGAGGTTAGTCTGGGATACACAGTGAGCTCCAAGCCGGCCTGGGCTTTCCTTCTTAAAAAGAAAGACAATTTTGTCTAGCTTGCAGCACGGGTCACAAGTTACAAACAAAACCCAGAGCATTGTTCTGAGCTAAGGAGAAAGCAAAGCTACAGCCACACCCTGAACATCTGACCCAGAAGTCAGAGCCCTCTGATCAGAGAGCACAGGCAAGCTTGCAACCCTGTAGGTCAGGATACACTGATGAGGTCCCCTTCCTGTAAGAAGCCTCTCATGGCCAGCTCATCTTCTGCAGATCTTCTCCTCTGAAACATACAGGAAAAACGGCCACATGATGCAAGCCCCACTGTCAGGAGGAGCTCTTCCCATTGCTGTTTTTTGCTTGAGGTCTGTGTAGTCCACCATGGTATTTTAACATGAAGAACTATGACAAGAGGTAACCTGAGCTGCTAAGGTAACCTTAGCTCTCCAGGAGGACCCTCCTAGGCTAACATCCGGCCCCTCTGCAGCTCTCTGAGCCTGTTTCCCCACTCACCCACACCTCCACCAGGCTGTGTCTGCTCACGTATCTCCCTTCATCTCAGAGTCCCAACCTCACTCCAACTCTCAGACCCCAAGAGCCCTCCACAACCCCTCTCTGCTCTACATGTTTCTTCATTCTCCTGCCTCCATAAGGCTGTTATCTCCTATTCTCCACCAATCTATAAGCTCTTTAAGAGACTCAGATGTGCTTCTTTATTCTGACACTCTCCATAGGATCCAGCTCAGGGAGCCTCTCTGAAATATATTGGACCTGAACCATGGTATGGACAAAAGGCTATTTTGTTACTATCTGGAATAATCATGTGCCATTCAAGTCACTAGAAACTAAGGAAAAGTGAGGGTTAGTGGCACATGACTTTAATCCCAGCACTTGAGAGGCAGGCAGATCTCTGTGAATTCCAGGACAGCCAGGGGGCTACACAGAGAAAACCCATCTGAACCCCAACCTCCTGCCCCCCCAAGAAAAGAGAAAGCAAAGGCCAATGCTTCACAGACACCTTCCTTATGCAATACCAATGCACCAAGAAAGGAAATTAGCACCAAGATTCAGGAGACTTTCTCCCCAGCTCCATCTTGGGAGCCCACTCCACAGGTGTTTCTGATTTTACCAAACAACACTTGCTGCCTATGTTCACCTAGGTAGCAGACTCCATGACAAAATATTAACAGTGTAAACAGAATTCTATGGTGGAGCAAAAGCCCCACAGCTCAACTGTTCTAGGGCAGTTCTAGGGCAGTCAAGCACTCACCAGCTCCCCACCCGGCAGGTTCATGGAGGAGAGGAGCAAGACGGAATCCAGCCTGGAATTTGTCTCCACTTTCCACCTCTTCTGTTGAACCTGTAAGGAAAAAGAGGGCAGCATCTCAAGGCACCTTCTTCATACAGCATTTCACAAAATGAAGGTCCCATTCCCGAGCCACCAGCCTCCTTCACTTTGTAAAACAGCAACTTTACCTCTGTGATTCTCCCCACTACAATGTCTCCTACTTCTCCATTGTATCTGCAAGAGAAAGCAGAAGGTTACCCAGTAGCCAGCAGGCTGACCAGACCAAGCACTATTTGAGGCTGAGTAAACAGATGGAACTTCAGAATCTCTCTGTGTATACTTCTTTAGTTGTCCTTACAGAAATTGCTCATTGCAATTTCTGTCCTTTAGACTGAAGTCCTGACTCTGCTTGATTATGTGACAAAAACAGAGTACTTGCCTCTGAATAAGGAAGGGATAAGTTCATCACCAAGTAATGGAGGAAAGCAGACCCTGAAACACACCACCACCATGGGGGCTCGAGCGGCCCACTCCTCGCTGCCTGCCTGGCTCGGGCACTTTGCTGGTCCCTCATACTGATTCCAAGAGCGAAGTGCTCTTTGCAAAAGCCCAGGCATTAGACTAGTTCTCTTGGAGGCTATCCTGGAACTAGCTCTGGTAGACCAGACTGGTCTCGAACTCTCAGAGATCTCCTGCCTCCCGAGTGCTGGGATTAAAGGCGTGTGCCACTACCACCCAGCTGAGCTCACTGAGTTTTAATAATCCCAGCTCTTGGGCGGCAGGGCAGGGTCATGAAGCTATCCAATATTAGTAGCCACACAATGGCTCATGAGCACTTCTAAAAGTAACTAACCCAAAGTGAAGACTGCCAGCAGCTGCTTCCCCTTCTCCACAGCAAACTGCTCTCCCATTCACTCCCAGGTCAATAAGTGCTCGCCATACACCCCAAATCAACCTCCCATGCTTAGGCCAAAACCTTGGAATATCAACCTTGATTCCGGTCATACTCTGGGATTATAAGATCACCACAAAGCCTGCTGATGGCACCTTAAATTGTATGAAGGAAACACAGACATCCAGACTGGAAAACAGGAACTAAAAACATCTCTACTCTGTTAACCATTCTTAAACACATCAGTTACTGCAAGTGAGCAATGTTACTACAGAGAGAAAATCCCAAAGAAAGTCCAGCTCCCTTTCATGTAAGAAACTCAGAAAAAAAGAGTACACACAGGAAATAGCCACTACTCCGCAATGCTGTTATGTGCTGCTACCCTCGTGAAAGCAGCCATCACTTATTTTGTAAGATAAATACAGTTCCTAGTCTAGCACCCTGTCCCCATAGCAGCTACAGCAAATTAAGACATAAGTCACATCACAGCTTTCTTCTGTTCATACAACAAATGCCCAAATGCTCACCATCACTGCCAGGCAGGATACCACCTGCTCAGCTCAGCCCCTAATCTCCTCTTTGACCACTCAGTTCCAACCCCACTGGCTTCCCTTCTGGACTAACCTTTATGGGGCTGCTCCTAGGAACCTGGCCCTGTGTTAAGTACTTTATATGTAGCATGTAACTGAATCCTAACAAAAATCCTAAGTAAAGTACCTGCAGAAAAGGAAAGTACCTGAGGCTTAGAGGGATCAAGTGACAAGAGGAAATCTTTGAAATTCATACTACTACTTTCAGTGTCCTAGTCTGCTCTCTGTTGCTGTGATAAACACTACAACCAAAAGCAACCTGGGAAGGAAAGGGTTTATTTGGCTTCCAGGTTGTAGCCCATCGTCAAGGAATACCGAAGCAGGAACCTGGAGGGCAGAACTGAAGCAGGGACCTGGGGGGATACCACCAATTGCTGGCTTATTTCCCATGCTCAGCCTCAGGCTCAACCAGCATAACCAGTCTTCTTTCCCCGGCCCCCTTAGACAGGGTCTCTCTACATAGCCCTGGCTGCCCTGGAATTCAGAGATCCCCTTGCCTCTGCCGCCCCCAAGTCCTGGGACTAATGATGTGCACCACGATGCCCAGACCTCAACCAGTATTCTTACACTCCCCAGGCCTACCTGCCCAGGGATGGACTGGGTTTTCCCAACAGACATGCCCACAGGCCAATCTGATGGAGTCAATTCTTCAGTTTAGGTTCCTGCTTACCAGGTTACCTCTAGATTTGTGTCAAGTTGGCAGCTGAAGCTAGCTATGACAAACAACTGAATTCAACAGAGCAGGCCTGTAACAGGACAGACTGTGGGGTGTGGGGAGACGAAGAGACCTGTGTACAACCCAGAAGCTCCAAGAAAGAGCCCCATACCTTCTGTGCTCACCTGGTTTTCAAGGCTTTCACACAGATCAGCTTGTTTACTCTCTCCACAGAGCCAGCCACAGACGCAATGAGCTTCTCCTCCCCCATGTATGTTCCGTGGCCTCTGTTGAAGGACAAGACCAAAGAAAGGATGCCATGTTACACTGGAGGTGAACTCTCCCATCTGGAAGAACTTTCTGGAACCTAACAGTCTCCTCCTGCCCTGAGCCTGATGCACTCCTCAGAGAGCTACACGGACATCTCCTTTATCCTGAAGAGGTCAGCTCAGAAGTCATTTTCCAACAACCTCCCTCCAGTATCCCAGGCAACAAAGAAGTCCTCCCCATTGCTGACTCACCCACCCTTTCCCAGCTGCTCCCCTGACCCTGCACTCCCCCACCCACTGCAGTTACAACTTTCTGATGGCATTTCTTGTTTCTGTCTCCTTGCTAGATTGCAAACTCCACCAGGGCACAGGTTTTCACTTTTGTACCCCAACCACACATCTTGAAAGAATGACAGAATGAATCCTTGGATCTCTACCATCCAACAACCTTAACCTTAAAGCTTAGAGCAATGCTATAAACACAGGGAAGGGAAGGGAAGGGGAAAAGAAGAACCAGGTATGGTAGCCATATCCTTGAGCCCAGAACTTGTGAGACAAAAGCAGGGGGATCTCTGAGTTTCAGGCCAGAGTGGTCTACACAGTAAGTTCCAAGACAGCCAGTGTTACATAGCGAGACCCTTCTCAGAGTGAGAGAGATAGAACAATGCAAGAGGGAGAGACGATACCTAACAGATTTATCTTTGGTGGTAATACAATGGTGGACTTTGCTTTTCTGCCCTACACTTCAGTTCATATAATCCCCACTAACCTACCAATTACAGTTGTCACCACTGTCTTCAGGGTGAGGATACCAAATTTAGCAAGGTGCTACTGCTAATGATAATAATGATGGCAGTTGTCCAGCTCCACAGCCTGCCCTAACTACCACAAGATGTCTGCCTTACAATGCTGTGCTCAAAACCCCCAAAATCACTGCTTCAAAACCAGGCTTCTTGCTGAGGTGACACTGAGGGAGGTGACCAAACCAGCCCTCCACAGTTCTCCCTCCCCAGGAAAGCTCAAAAATATTGTTTCAGGCTAGGACTCAAAAGTTTCGGACGCCATAGACCAAAGAAGAGAATCAGGGGCTGAGACAGGTTAATTCAAAAAGGGACTCAGAAGCACGAGGCTCGGAAAGGAGAGAGTTATTGTAGATCCTGGATGTGTCCCGCGTACCTAGGTAACTTAGATACAAGGGGGATACAAGGAGGCCCGAGTTCCCGGGCAGCAGACCACGTGCAGAGAGCTCTGCAGCCGCTCCCTAAGGCCTTGGGTCCCCCAAATCTTCACGTACCGCATGAATCCTGTGTCCGTGGTGATCGTGTCCCCCGGTACCACCAAATGTTTCTTAGAGTCACGGCCCAGGCTCTCACTGAGAGGTTTGCGAGCCTTGGGAAGCCTCATCTCCATCGCCATCTTGGCGCCAATGACTTGCGCAGGCGCAGCTCTACTCCCGGTGCAACAACTCCCGCCCACCTTCAAAGCAGCGACCAATAGGAGTGCATGGTGTAGAGGCCATGTTGATTATTGGCAACTATTAAGTTAACCTGAGTTAGGGAGGAGGGCGCCAAGCTGCCATATTTACTACTGGCAAAGAAGCACCTGTGGAATAATGAATTCTCACGTTGTAATGGTGTATGATGTTGATTTGGTTTGGTGTCGGGATGCTAGTTTTGGTGTTTTGTTTGTTTTTTGTTTCGTTTTGTTTTGAGAAAGGGTCCCGTATATGACTGGCCTCTAACTTTGTGCAGTCGAGGACACCCCGCTGCACTCCTGATTTTCCTGCTTTCACCTTCCAAGAGCTGGGATTACACAAGTTGAATAGGTTGTGTTTTTGTTATTGGTGGTAGTGGTGGTTGTTTTCGACTTTAATTGGTTTGTTGTTTTATGTATATAAGAGTTTCACCTGTATGTATGCCTCTGTACTACTAGAGTGTCTGATGCCCATAGAGGCCAAAAAAATGGTGTCAGATCTCCTGAAACTGTAGTTACAGATGCTTGTGAGCCAAATTGTGGATGCTGGGAATCAAAACTAGGTCCTCTAGAAGTGCACCCTGTTGGAACCCAGCAGTCTGCTGACTCTGCCCCATGATGATGGGCAGGATGCTCATGGCCATGTCTTCTCTACCTCATGACTTACCTGGCTGCCAGGGGACTCAGTTATGCATGCACAAGTTTCCCTTTTAAAGCAAGCTCGCCAAGCACATCTCTCTCTTGTTCTCTCTTGCTCTTACTCTCTCTCTCTCCCTTGCTCTCTTACTCCTTCTTTTGGTTGGCCACCAGCTACTCCCCTTTCTCTCCCCTCTGTCAATAAACTCCACGTGGGCGCTGAATCTCGTGGTGTTTGTGTTTCATAGGCAATAGTTGTATCAAAAGAACAACACGCCCAGTACTCTTAACCACTGGACCATCTTTCCAGCCCCAGGTTTAGGGTTTTTTGAGACAGGGTCTCATGTAGTCCAGGATGATCTCAAACTGGCTGTATAACCCAGGATGTTTTTATCTCCTTATCCTCCTCCTCCACCACCTCCCAAGTGCTGGGATTGCAAGTGTGAACCACCAGGACAAGCTGTAGTGTGAGTTTTCACCCAGACTCCCATATTCATTAATTCTATTTATTGTTGATCAAGTCTGAAGATTGAGAAATGAACCCTGAGTTTTTCCAACCAACTCTAACCCACTACAATCTAGTGTTTTATAGGCTAAAGATGAGGACTGGGAGGCAGTTTTTAGTGGCAGAAACCACCACCTGAGCAGAAGGTAGAGCCCTTTGAATACTGTTTTTAGTGGGCCTTATATGCTATGTTAGAGCTGCCCCTTAGGTGCTGCTTTAGGTCCTTGCTTATTGCCCCCATGACTCTCACTGTACTTTAGTAAGGATCTCTTCTGAGTGTAGAGAGTATTTCTTTTGGAAGATGACTGTTGTAAAACCCAGCCACATGAGGTAGGGAGGCTATGGTGTACACACAACATAAAAATCTTTGCTTATACTCACTTACACAGCCAAATGCTCTCTGATCAGATGCTATTCAGTAGTGGATAGAAGACAGGAAAGATGTCTCCTGTGACTTTATTTGAGCCTTCTTTTTAACAGAGGCATTTCCCTGGGTCCTTCTCCCCACCATTCACTAACCCCCATTTCCCCTAGCGCTTCAAGGTTTGAATCTCCTTGAATTTGTTTGTCTTTTGTTAGTTTGTTTTGAGACAAAGTCCATCTATGTAGCCCTATCTAACCCAAACTTGCTAGGTAGACCAAGCTGGCCTTGAACTCACAGAGAGCTGCCTGCCTCTGCCCCTCTGCCCCTCTGCCCCTCTGCCCCTCTGCCCCTCTGCCCCTCTGCCCCTCTGCCCCTCTGCCCCTCTGCCCCTCTGCCCCTCTGCCCCTGCCTCTGTCCCTGCCCTTACTTCTGCACCACCATGCCCTGCCTCAGCACATTGAATTTCAACCTCACGGAATCAGCAATATAGTTCTCCACTCAAATGGGACCCTAAAGAAAATTAAACCAAATCTGGTCATCTCTCTCCTGAAGACTCGCCTGACCAATTGCTTATAAATTTCCAAAGGGTTAGCAGTTCTTACCCTAACCACTGAACACAGCTACATTTATCAAGAAAGCTAACCCTGCCAGGAAGTCCATGACATGGTCACTGAGCAGCCAGAGTCACCTTTCTCCATTCTTGGAAGAAGCCAGCTAGAGTACAACTGTTGAATCAGCTATGGCCATAAGAGGGCGATGGTATCTTTTAAGATATCCCAACCCATGCTGCAAGCTTCAAGGAGAATTCCTAGACCAAAACGCTGATGGGTTCCATCCTTCAGGTAAAGACCTTGCTCACCTCAACCCTCACAGGTGTAGAGCCTGTGGCAATGAGATGACATTGTGGATATCTAATTATAGAGGAGGAAATTGAGGTCCAGGAAGGACTGGAATTCACATAGCAAAAGCAGCTAGCCTCGTTGAATTCCATCTGCTACTCATTTTCCCTGGAGCCCTTGCCATTAACCAAACATCTTTCAGGTGCTGGGCTCTTGTGGCCCTATGGTAAGTGCTCATTGATCCTTTACTGAGTCCTCATGGCCCTATACTGAGTGCTCACTGACCTTATCCTGAGTGCTCACTGCTCCTAGGCTGAGTGCTCCACAAACATGTTGCTTACTCTTCAGTTAGCTCATTCAGGAAGAGGTCATGCTAATTCCAATGATTGCCCGAGGACACTGAGTCCCCAAACAAATCTAGAGCTAGGACAAGAACTCCATCCAGCTATTCTCTCTTCTCCACACTTATCCATTCAACAGCAAATGGTGCAGAAGGCACCTGGAAACAGGTGCATATCTGGGTTTTCGATCTTATCAAATACATAGACTAAGCTTTTTTTGTTTCTATTTTATTTTGCATTCATTTGACAACTTATGTCTGCATGCGTTTACATACACCCAGGACAATCTGCAAGAGCAGTCCTCTCCCTCCACCTCTTAGGCTCCTGGGATCAAGCTATCAGGCCTCACAGCCCCACCCCTACCAACTCATCCCCAAAAGTAAAGTCCAGAAACCTAGTTAGTGTGTGTTGTGTGTAGATGTTTTGTGCAAGTAAATCTGTACAGAGGTCACATTAGGTGTTGTCCTCTATTGTTCCCCATCTAGCAGTAAGGAGACAGACTCAGCTCCACACTGTCATTTCAGCAGCCTGAGGACTGCCCTGATCTTTTCAGAAGCTTGACATAGGCCAGGAGAGCTTGTGACTTTGACACAAGAAATGATTTAGGACTAGCCAGTATGAGCCAGAATTGAAGATTTTCTTTTAAAGATTTATTTATTATGTGTTCTGTCTGCATGTATCCCTGCAGGCCAGAAGGGGGCACCAGATGGTTGTGAGCCATCCTGTGGTTGCTAGGCATTGAACTCAGGACCTCTGGAAGAGCAGCCAGTACTCTTAACCTCTGAGCCATCTCTCCAGCCCCGATAATTGAAGTTTTTATCAAGCCATTTTAATAAAGGCTTTAAGCACGAGGGTTATGTTAGGAGAAAGATTCTATCAGGAAGTAATACACACCCAGGTGTGAGCATGGACCTCGTAGGGCAGAATCAAGATTCCTTTGTTTAGCATTAGCCATGGATACCATTTTGATGGCTTTTATGTTACACATCAAAAGGTTGCTAGGAAAACTCTCCTCTTTTTTCTCTCTTTTGAACAGTTCACACAAACAGCAGCAAAAGGAAGCTTTTAAAAACCAAATCAGCTGATTGGTGATGGCACACACCTTTAATCCCAGCACTTGGGAAGCAGAAGCAGGTGGATCTCTGTGAGTTTGAGGCCAGCCTGTGTTAAAATCAGTTTTTCCCTGCCTGTCTGGTCCCACAGCTGCGCCAGCCCCAAATAACACACAGAGATGCTGTATTATATATAAAGCTGTTGGCCTGTTTCCAATGTTTCATACTGACTAGCTCTGCCTTAAATAGTAACACATTTCTATTAACCTAAGTATTTCCATGTGGTCTTATCTCACTGGAGAGAGGACCGGGAGTTCTACTCTCTCCGTCCTCCATGTTGAATCTCCTCCCTACTTCTTCTTCTCCCCTCCTAGTTTCCTAGTCCCGTCTATCTTGCTTTCCTATTGGCCAACAGATCTTTATTCATTAACCAATAAGAGAAACATGTTTACAGAATGACATCTCCCATTAAGCCTGGTCTTCAGATTGAGTTTCAGGACAGCCAGGACTACACAGAGAAACTCTGTCTCTACAAACAAACAAACCCCAGATCAGCTTACAACATCCTCCTGCTTAACACTTTGGGAAATCTCCCTTGACACCAAGAATAAAATCCAAATGCATCTCCACTCCCTCTGTATCCTCACACACTCTGACCTCCCTTGGTCCATGAATGCCACCACCCCTTGCTAGCTCAAGATCAGTTTGTTGTGGACTCTTTCTGTGTGGCTCCTCCTCTCACAAGTGTGCCTTCTTCTCACCCCTGTCCATATCCTCCTGGAGAAGGTGCTCCTGTCCTTGCTTGGACAAATCCTCCAGTCCCTCTTTCAACACTGATCCTGTTTCAATTCTTGACACTGAATTTTCTTGTTTGCTTATTGCAATCTTCCCTAATCAGAAACAGATATCTAAGAATGGTCCAAGACCCAGGACATTTTTTATTGGCTCAGTTTGGTAGTTGTTTATCTGCTTGAAGACAGGGTCTCATGTATCCAAAGCTGGCCTTGGACTTCTGATTCTCCAACCTCACCTTCCCAACTGCTGAGATTATAGGTGCACACCCACTTTGCTCAGTGCTGGAGATGTTAGACAAGTGCTCTCTCCACTGGCATATATTCATCTCAGCTTCAGGACAGGCCCCCTCTCCACTGGCACACATGTGTCCCAGCTGCAGGACAGGCCCCCTCTCCACTGGCACACATGTGTCCCAGCTGCAGGACTTTTACTTTGTTT